TGTGTGTATGTATGTGTGAATGTATGTGTGTGTGTGAATGTGTGCATGTGTGTGTATGTGTGTGTGTGTGTGTGTGTGTGTGTGTAGTCATACACATAGCCAAACACAAACTATGACATACATACACCAATACACCACAGAGAAAGAGATAACCATTTGAGCTACAAATAAAATCTGACAAAATTTCCGTTCCATTAGCGTTGCGTCGGAAGCAGAATTCCTAAACAAAGTAATGACGATAACAAACCCATCTCTTGCGATCATTTTGACGTATCTAATCCATTTGGCAATGACATTTCATTCGCTCATTACGCAGTTTATTGATCCGGCTAATTGATCAAAAAATGCAATTCATTCCAATTATTTGTTCTCTTATGCTCATTAGTCTGAAAGCACCCCATATTCCTTCCTGCAATCAAACCAGATACACCGCCCCCGCCCTCAAATATTACATACCCTCTTTTTCTTTACTCGGTCCGTCCAAACACATACTTTTTTTTCTTTTTGTTTTATAATATATAATTTAATCCAAAATTCTTGGTCTATTTATCCGTTCCTTTTTCATTTTTCTAACACTCCGTAAAGTATTTTATCCTTTTCTTTCTATCCTTTGCTTCAGCATTCTGTACTTTAATACGCCGACTCATCTTTACGTATACAGTTTAATCGTTTACATATTAACCCAACCGTCTGTAATGTACTCATTGGTGATTATTATGTTATTCTTTCATAATTCAGGTCTTCTCTAACCCTATGTCCAGGCAGGATAAAGGAACAGTAGGGTAGTTAATGATGGGAAAGAAAGAACGAGTCGGGAAACTATGAACCTCCTATCTTCCAATTTTAAAACACAGACCCACTATTCTTCTTTTTGTGAAAATATTAAAACTGGCAATTGCCATAAACTTTTCCTCTGAAGACAGATACAATCTTCATATCTTCAATCAATATATCATAATTAAGTACAGTCCTACAAAACAATAGCATCCTATGTCTACAAAATGTCATGCTTTAAAAGGATATGCTTCGTCAAACCTTTTATACGGCTGTAATTTAATTTCTTGACAGTCACTAGAACAGTTTTTGAACAAATAGAATGAACAGAAATAATAACTAATTCGATTTCTCAGGAGACCGTTGACGTTGAGAATTTCTTGCAGAGAAGAATATCAAAAAGAATATTCGTTTACAGATTTTTTTTCATGAAAAAGACAATTTAAATGCAATATCTGGGACACGCAAATAGACATCAATCCCTAAAAATCCAGATATCTGGAAAGACTAAACAGATTGGTTATCAGGATAATAATAATTATAACTTTTTGGAGCTAAGGAATGAACGGCGAACCACGATTGTTGATGCGTATCACAGATCTGCCACTGAGTGATTGAATTAAGTAAATTTCGTATTTATATATGTATGCATTTACCATTCTATCATATATTTTATTTTAAATCCAAAAGATTATCTAAGGTGGACGTTTAATCTTTACAGTATATAGTTTTTGGTCAACTCTTGCTTCATCAAACTTTACAAGCTATTCTCGGCTTTCAGACAGAGGGGCTTTAAGACAGAGGCCGATGACAGCTGCAAATTGAAAGCAGCAACAGCCAGAGAGGAAAGACAGCAGGTAGCAGCAAATAGTCAAGAACAACAACAAAATTAGCAATAACAACAATAACGGCAACAACAATATCAACACCGACAACTTTGATTATTGTCGTTGTTTTTAGGCTTAAAATCGCCCAGAGTATATGGCAAGCTGAATGCTTTCTTGTACTAGCTCCAAGAACTAACTTTTGACCGGCGTCTGAGGTGCAGAGGATAGGTTTTTCCCTTCGGCACTAAGTTCGATTCCCGAGCCGAGTTTTTTTTTCTTCCCAAAAATCAAGGTCGACTGTGACAGTCTTTTTGCTTGAATGTTGTATCCCCAACATCACGGGTAGACTCTGATAGACAGGTTCAGGATCTCGCATTCTAGATAATATAAATTTCGTCGATAGGGTGTAAAAAGAACCAGAACTTACACTGAAACAGAAAAGCAAATTCAAAATTAGACGAGTTTGTAATTGCTGTTACAGACGTAAAAAAACCCTACTTTTGAGCTCAAGGAATTATTACGCTTAATGTTTGTGTTCTTTAAAATGTAAGTTTATCTTCAAGCTAAATCCCGTTTTACTGTTTCAGATTCAATGCTTCCTAAACTGATTTTTTTATAAGCCGGTCAATGGAGTTGGTGCGAGATAAAGCTAAGCTCTGAATTTTCAAGTACATGTATTCTGCAACAACAATAACAGTTTGTGTTGCATCAGATAAGCAGCAACAGATAACAATAACTCACATAAATTTACATAGATATTATATTTTTCTTGCTTTAATTACGTGAGCAAAAGTGATATGAACAAAAGTGTCAAGGCGTTCATTATA